GGAGTCTTAGCCTGCGGAGTTTGAGAGGGCGGGGCAGGCATGGCCACTCAGTTGAAGAACAGCCTTTGCTCGGGGCAGTATGGTCCATAACCAGCTGCCTTTGGGTGGACCCTGATTCCTGGCGACCAGGGCTTCCCTTCAGGTCACTTTAGGGTGCACTTGAACTGCCAACTTTTCAGTTAGCAGCCCAGAGCTTCACTACTTACTCAAGGACTCCCAGCAGGGTGAACAAAGACACATCATCTATGTTCCAAAATCAGAGAATGGAACCTCATTTGGAAATGGAGTCTTTGCAGATGTAATTAGGGATCTTGAGATGAGCTCATTCTAGATTATCTGATGACCAGTGCCCTTATTAGAGACAGGAGAGGAGCGGACACAAAGACATACACATCACAAAGACCATGTGATGACAGAGGCAGAGATTGGAGTGATGGCGCCTCCAGAAGCTAGAAAGGAAGAATACTCCTCTAGAGCCTCCACAGGGAGCGGGCACAGACTTGCTGACAACTTGAATTTTAACACTGGCCTCCAGATGGAAGAGTGACTATACATTCCTGCTGTTTTGAGCCCCCTAGTGTGTGATACTTTGTTATGGTGGCCCCAGGACACTTAAGATGGGGCAACGAGGCAAACGAGAGAGTTAGGGGAATTTAGGGGTGCAAGTAGAAACACACCTGGCTGGCTGCTTACTGGAAGGATAGAGATTCCACTTCACCCAAAGGCACCACAAAAGAAAGACCTGGTGACCCATTTCTGAAAACTTAACACTGAAAATCCTATGGAGTCCAGTTCTACTTTGACAATGGTTCTACCAAACATGATGTCCTCCTCTAGCAGTTGATTCCTTCTGATGACCAGTGAGCTGGACAATATTCTGCTGTGATTCATTAGTTTTCAATTGGCTGGTTTTCAGAAGTAGATCACCAGACTTCTCTTCCTAGTCTCTTTTAGTCTGGCAGCTTGGCTGAAAGCTGTCTACCACAGGAGACCCTGTTGGTATCTGAAATACTGGTAGCATAGCTTCCAGCATCACATTAACACGCAAGCCACAGAGCATGACACAGAGCTGTAGGACTCAGGAAATAAACTTCCTGTCACGCTGTGGATATAAGTAGTCTGTTGAAACAGACTTTGAGAGGGAGAAGCATCTCGAAGCTGTGGATCAATCCCCAGTCTCTGTTCATCACCTTTGATGAGTTCTTCCTCCTTCTCTGCTTCTGGAAGCCTGTACTCAGTAAATAAACTGCTGGGGGTCAGAGCTCCTCACACCCCGCTGTTCACAGCGTTGCCTGGGAACTTTCAAATGTCACACACCTAGCTGGCCATCTAAGACTCAACTACTGGTCTCTCCCCAGGCAGAGCAAAGAAGTGAAGAAAATCACAAGCTTAGGACTAACAGACCATGTGAACCACGGCCTCTACAACCCTGAGACCAGAAGCAATTGATGGAGCCTGGCCACAACCGACCGCTCTGAAAGGGATCACACTAGAAGGTCTTGGACAGAGTAGGAGAAGAATGTACAACAAAATGCAAAATCATAAAGACCAGACTTAACTGATCTGATAGAAACTGATACAGATGTGACACTATAGCCCTTAGATACCCTTCAAACCTGGAACGGAACCCACCCCCCAGGACTACCTTTCAGCAAACAACAGACAGACTCAAAAGTGAACAACACGACTTGTGAGGGACGTACTCTTCAATACAGTCAGCCACACAAGACCAGACAGAAAGCACAGAAGGCAGGGAGGGGCAAGAAAGGACAAATGGTAACGGGGAACCCAGGGAGGCAGCGGGAAAAGCGCTGATACACCGGGGAGCTGCAACTAATGTCATGAAACAAAATGTCATTGTTGAGTGCAAAACTAATTTGTTCTATGAACATTCACCCAAATCTTAATAGTTGGTTGTTGTTGTTTTAAATTTAAGCTAGTGAAAAAAAATGTCCCATGGCTGCCACCAGAATCCGGGGAGCTGGTGGGAGTGGGGCTGGGGTAAAGGTACCCCTGTATGCAGCCAGGCTGCTCAACAGTGCAGACTCCAGCCGCTTCCTCTCTAGATGCCACTCTGCTGGGGAATGCCCAGAAGCCCCTTGGCTCAAAACATGATCAATTCACGGAGGGTTTCCACTTTTTGTCTCTGGCCCTGATCATGGCCTGAGGGTGCACTAAGCACAGCAGGTAAGTCTGACTTTTGATCCTGATCTGGTGCCTTGGTCAAGGATGCATGCTGAGTCCTAAATGGTCCTTCTCAGACCCTCAGCTACTCAGTGGAGAATACCTGCCAGCTCTCTCTCTAACCTAGGTCAGAATCTAACCCAGACCATGCCCAGCCCAGCCTCAGTGGTCTCACTGACACCATCCTAGGCCATCCATCAGGCTCCTCATGAATCCATCCATCCACTCATAAATCCAACCATCCATCCATATACCATCCACTCATCCATCAACTCATGAAACAACCCATCTGAATCAACCCATTCACCCACCCAGCACCTTTTCCACCTGTTCATCCACGCACCTGTCCACCAACTCATGAACCCATTTACCCTCTCATCCTTCAGTACCTCCCTGGACATCTGTCTCACTTTGCTACCCAGGGTCCACAACAAGTCAGTGGCAACTCTGTGGTACCTGAGACAGACCACACTAGAGCTCTACCAAGGCCTGTCCCTGCTCAAGCCCAGTTCATAAGTGTCTCCAGCTCATCAGGCAGGGCCATGCCACAACACAGTGATGACCTTAGGGTCAGCTTAACTCAGACTCACACCATCAAATCCAAGACGACACATCACACTCACGTCACTCTATGGTTTATAAACGTTCATGGCCAGTCTCAGTACTGAGCTCCCACCATACACAGGTGCTGACTGTGTACCTACGACCACCCCCCTCCCACTTTCTGAGCCCTCATACCCTCCCATCTTTGGGGACAGAGACCTTGGATGCCTGGGGCAGCACATTCTTCCTCTCCACCACAGGGGCTCTCACTCACCCACGCACGATCCCACTCTCCAGATAGTTGACTTGGATAAACTTCCCGAAGCGGCTGGAGTTGTTGTTGTGGGCCGTCTTGGCATTGCCGAAAGCCTGTGGGTAACAGAAGTGGGTATTCAGGTCATGCTTTCATCCAATGGCCAACACCAGGCATTCCCGGGAGTGCAGAGAAGGGTCAGAAACACTCTGGGTGTGGCAGAGGCACCTCCAGTCTGGGGCTGGACCAAGAGCTCTGAAACGCTTTCTTTTGAACAGTTTGTCATGTTAAAATATACATACAACATGACATTTGCATGGCAACCATTTTTAAGTGTACAATTCTGGGGCATTACTTATAGCATTACTTGCTGCACAAGACCTTTTTAAAGTGTTGAAAAGCAAAGATGTCAGCTTGAGGACTAAGGTGCGCCTGACCCAAGCCATGGTATTTTCAATAACCTCATATGCATGTGAACACTGGACAGTGAATAAGGAAGAACATAGAAGAACTAATGCTTTTGAGTTATGGTGTTGGAGGAGAATATTGAAAGTGCCATGGGCTGCCAAAAGAACCAATAACTCCGTTTTGGAAGAAGTGCAGCCAGAGTGTTCCTTGGAGGCCAAGATGGCCCAACTTCATCTCTCATAGTTTGGACATATTGTCAGGAAGGATCAGTCGCTGGAGAAGGATGTCATATTTGGTAATGTGGAGGGTCAGAAAAAAAGAGAAAGACCGCCCCCCCCCCCCAAACGAGATGGATCAGCAAAGTGGCAGCATCGATGGACTCAAGTGTGGCAACAGTAGTGAGGTTGGTCCAGGATCAGGCAGTGTTGCGTTCTGCTGTGCATAAGGTCGCTATGAGTTGGTGCCAACTCGATGGCACCTAACAACAACAACTTATAGTCACCATGTGTCACCATGTTATACAATTACCACCTCTCATCAACTAATTCTAGAACATTCTCATCACCCAAAAGGAGACCCTGCACTTATTGGCAATTACTTCTCACCCCTCCCCCAGTCCATTACTATTGTTAAGTGCCGTCAAGTTGGTTCTGACCCATAGCAACCTGTATAGGTTTTTAGAGGAGCAGCTGGTAGGTTTGCACTGTGACCCTGTGGTTCAAAGGCCAGTGCTGATCCTACAGTGCCACACCAGGAGTCCTAGCAGCCACAAACCCACTTTCTGTCTCTACGGATTTGCCCGTACTGGACATTTTATGTAAATGGCATCATTCATGCTATGACCCTTTGTGGCTGGCATTTTTCACTCAACATGATGTTTTCATGATTCAGCCAGGTGGTAGCAGGTACCAGGACTGGATGAGCAGTATTCTATTGTGCATTTGGGCCAAACTGTGTTTATCCATCCATTTATGGGTAAATTTTTTGTGTCTAACTTTTGGCTGTTGTGAACAGTTGCGACAAGCATAGGTGTAGACGTAGGAATGTTTGAGTCTCTGCTTTCAACAGACAAGAATGATTTTTACGTTTGTGAATTAGAGAAAGAAAAAAAATCCAAAGATAATGTCATAACTCATGAAAATTCTGACACCACTGACGACAGTATTCATCAGTAAAGCTTCCTTGGCACACAGCCATGCCCACTCATTGATAAATCATCTGTGTCTGCTTTCGAGATACAAAGGCAGATAGAGCTCTACCGCACCTGGCCTGTAGAGCACGATGGACGTGTTTATCGCTGGGCTCTTTACAGAAGAAAGAGGCTCCCCCTGGCCTTGGCCCACGTGGCTGGGTGGAGACCGTGGAGGTGAAGATGGCCTGCCTTCTAGGAGTCCAGTGACTTAAACAAGTGGAAGGTTTTTTAAAAAAACCTCTTCGAGGAGTCCTGGTGTAGCACTGTGGGTTAATGCACTAGACTGCAAGGTTGGTTTGAACCACAAAATCAGTGGCTCAAGCTCCCCAGCTGCTCCTTGGAAACCCTTTACAGGGTCGCTATGGGTCAGAATTGACTTAATGACACTTAACAACAACAACAGGTGTTGGGAGCAGAGTGCAGTGACTGTGCAGTTTGGGGGGCTCCCTTCTGGGGCCTCCCAGGAAGCCAACCAACCCATATCCAACCAGATTATGACAGAGAACACCCCCACCCCTCAGAACCCACCACACCAAGGGGGTTAAATAGACAGAGGGCCTTGGAAAGACTGGGACAGGGAAGGAAAAGCTGGAAAGGAGGTGGGGCTGAGGGAGGATTCCCAGGACAGTGAGTGGCAACCCCAGATCTCTCTCTCTGTATCTAGCCCCCTGGTTGTGTTTAAGTGCACGGGCTCCCAGGAGAGAGGTGCTCCAGGAAAGAGGCAGCTAGGGCCACAGTAAATAAAAACAAATCAACAACATTTGCCACCAAGTTGAGTCCTACTCATGGTGACCCGTGTGTGCAGTGGCGGTGGAGGACCTTTCAGAAGCAGTTCGCCAGGGCTTCTAGTCTCCCGAATGATGTGGAAATACATTTCTGTTCTTGAAAGCCACCACTCATGGGGCTTATAGGACAGCAGTTCTAAGACAGTACGACATAGCAACTCTGGGTGGGTTCAAGCTTCCAAAGGGTTGGCTAGTAGTTGACCACTTGTTTGTGCTACCCAGAAGCTCCTGGGGTCTATCTAGAGCAATCTCTAGAAAAACAGCCGGGACTAGGGCCCTGGGAACACAGAGTTTGGTTGATGGGGAATGCGGCCACCAGCCACCCCACCATCCGTTCTGAGATCTGGCTCCGAGTTCACCGACTGCTCCCAGGAGGGGTGACCTCATGTGTCTGGTATGTGATCCCAGCACATAGCGTGTCTCAACAGCCAGTCTAAAAATATCCGGTTTGTGTGATTACATGTCTGATCCAATGAGGAAAGCCTGGCCTGGTTCATACAGTGAGGGGAGCTATTGTCCTTTCCCAGAGAGCCATCAGGGCACAACCTGGCCTGGGATATAATGAGTGGGGTCAGGTGGGAGGAATGGAGCAAGTGGTCCCTGGGTGCAAGGTTGGGGAGGGCCAGGTGCCAATGCTATCTCCCCATAGGCCTGAAAACCCCTGAGTTCTGGCAAAACGCTTCCAGGAAAGGCTTCCACATAACCAATTTTTCCTCTTTCATAACAGAGTTACAAAAAAAAAAAAAAAAATTAAATGTAAGTTGTATTCTTTGGGAAACACACACATACACATACACCCTTATTAAGGGCTTTTGGAGTACTGGGTGGTTCAAATAGTTAAGCTGAGCGCTTAACCAAAAGGTAGGAGGTTTGAGTCCCCAATCCGAGGTGCCTCAGAAGAAAGACCTGGCAACCTGCATCCTCAAAACCAGCCACTGAAAACCCTACAGAGCATAGCTCTAGTCTGACCTATGTTGGGATGCCACAAGTTATGGTTGATTCGGAGGCAAACTAGTGTTTTGGTTACTAAAAGTTTATAAAACTGATGGAAGAAGAAATAAGTGGCCCCTCCTGAAAAAAACAAAAACAAAAACAGAGGGAATGGAAGCAAACACAGTTGAATGATGATGCACAGAGGAGACTGTAATCATTACATTGAAACAATGGTGTAAAGCTGCTGTTCTCCCATGTAAATTATCACTCAGTTCACAATACAAATAAATAAATAAAAAAGAAATAGAAAGAAACGACCCCATAATTAAACCCTCTGGCCATGATTTCTAAGTAAAATTGGGCCCAGGCCTCGGGTTCAAGAGAGTCGATGGACAACCCCTTTCCCCCACCAACCCTGTGCCAGGAATGCCCAGAGCTGGAGGGTATCCAAACACTTTCAAACAGTTTTCATCTTCCAGATCCTTCTTTTGAAAAGTTTATAAAGGTTTCTGTGATGTCGAAAGCTTTGTTACCAGCATGATCACACACGATCAAGAGGTTTTCAGGAGAGCATCCAGACAGACTAGGGAGTCCTGGTGACTGGCTTTGAAAACTCTCACATGGAAAATCCTGTGGATCACAATAAAGAAGTGTGCACTACAGTGTTGGAGGATGAGCCTTGTAGCATGGAAGGCACTAAAAATACGTAAGGGCTTACAAAATGGACTAAAATATATCAACAGTTGTGAAGGTGGCACAGACTGGACCAGAGTTTTCTTCTGTTGTACCTGGGGTCATCGTGAGCACACTTGATAGCAACTAACATCAAAGAGGTTTCTTAAATCCGAGAAACCCACGGTTAAACGTCTTCTCCAGCTTATAAGATTCTAGGACACATTTGTCTTTCTAGCTGGGTAGTCCTTCTGTTGGTTGGAATCTTTGCACTTTAGGAAGAATGGAGAAGCAGTGCAATAGTTAGGTTTCTCTTAATACATGGCCTTTTTGGACCAGGGTTTATAATTCTGCCAAGATTTCCTAGGCCACAATCAAGTGAAGTGTTTGAATAGCTTACCATGCAAATGAAGTGCATAAAACCCTTGTGGGGATTGGTCTATCACTAAGCAAAACAGGTGACTGTGGCCTACCATGAAGACCAGTCAGTTCATGGTCTTGGTGGGAGAAATCGCCTCATAAAAGAGTTAATCCACAGAGATTGAAGGGGATTTAACTACCATCAAGAAGAGTGCAGTTAGTCCTTTGAACCTGGGGTCTTTGTGTAGAACCTCTTCAATCTACGAGACCACAAATGACACAAGATGGCATGAGATGGTGCCAGATGGCATGAGATAGCAGTTGCAGTACCAACAGTGAACCAAGAGACTGGCACACATGGCTGTGGTGGGCTTACTGGCTGCATGGAGCAAGAGCGGAGTGTCTTTGGGCAGGAGGCTTGCTGGTGGAGTGGTGTGCCTCTGAGAACTTCTTGGTAGTCACAGAGTTGTTACATTTATGCCAGTAGGGCAGAGGTTGAGAGGAGGCTAGCATGGCCGAGAGAACTTCTGGAGATGACTTCTGGGGACAGGACAAACCTGCTAGCTTGATTGAGACAGAGGCCTGCCTGTGGGCACGGCCAACAGAGTTGAGAGCTGTCCAGTTTGGAAGCAGTCCTGACTGAAGAACTGTATCCTTTCTCCTGAGTTGTAGCCTGTCACTGTTGTTAAGTGCTATCAAGTCGATTCCGACCCACAGCGACCCTGTAATAGGGTTTCCAAGAGCTGCTGGTGAGCTTGAACCACTG